GAGGGAACCCCTCCGGAGGAGTAGGCTGCTGGGGCCCCGGCCAGGGACGGGCCAAACAGGCACGGCCCGACGGGCAGTGGGCTCCCGTGGCGCTGGTCGTAGCCCATGCTGATGCCACTGGTACGATTGCTGCAGGGCCGGCTACCTCCGGCTCCGCCAGCCCCCGCGCCGTCCAGCAGCAGGCTGCCCCGGGGACTGGACGGCTTGCTCGCATCGCTGGCCGAACTACTGGCGAAGCTGGAGCGGGGGCTTAGGGCGGGAGCCGTGGTCTCCAGTCGGAAGTCGGGAGGCAAGGACTGAGGTAGAGGCAAGGCCCGGGTCGGGGCCGGCCCCCCGGGAAAGGCACCTTCGTAGCGCTGGGCTTCAAAGGAGCCGCGCGTGTTCCGCTCGGCGTCCAGAGGGCCTTGCTCTCGAGTCGGCTCCAAAGGCTCATCCCCAGGGCCCCCAGTAGCTCCTCGGACCCCGGATTTCCTAGGAACCCCCAACACACTCTGTCGCCCCTTGCTTGGTCCGGGAGCCCCATCGGACCCAGACCGACTAGATTCACCCTTTCTGCGGCCAAATTTGGCGCTGCCGGAGTCTGAGAGTCTTAACTTCTCCAGCAGGCGACTGGCTTTCTCTCCTAACCGCTCCATGCCCTCGGGTCTGGGGCTTCCAGCCCCCTCCCCACCTGACAACCTGCAGCGTTTCGGTGGCCGCTTCTCCTTCCCAGCGGCTGGACTTTGGTTCCCCAGGAACACAGGGCAGGCACAGGGGCTTAGCCGACGGCCAGGATGCCCGGCGCCAGGAATCCCGCAGCATTCCCCAGCGAGAGGGGCTGCGTCCTCCCGTGCATCAAGGGTTTAGGAGGGGCTGGAAAGGCCTGCGACCGCAGCTGTCCCGTCCGCCAGGCTTATCGGTTCACTCTCCGACTCGCCTCCACCCCCGCCCCCCTCGCTCTCACACTCGGTACGGACTGAACTTCTCTCCCAAACTTTTGTCTGCCTGGCCGGATCTACTTTCCAGGAAGGGCGGAGCACGGCATGTGCGAGCTGAGGCGGGGGTGTCCGCGCAGGGATCCCTGGTCGGCCTAATGGGAAGGGGGCGTTGTTGCTGTCTTGGAGGTGGAGACCTGACGACTGGAGGCGAGGGGTAGTTTGGCATAGTTGCTACTACATCACCCAAGAATTGGAACAGGAAAGTTGTGTGTGTCGAGACCGGGGACTCTTTGTAGTTGGAATGTGCGGAGGGACATGATGGAATGTAAGGGCCCGGACCTGGGCGACGAGTGGCATGTTCAGAGCAAACACCGTGACTTTGTTCTTGGTGTGAGGACTGTGAGAGAGATGGAGAAAGACTGATACAGGAGTGGTGAGACAAGGAGAGAGACGTAAGAGGAAGACAGAAAAAGTGAAGGTAGATCTATAAACAGGCTCGGAGACGCGATCGTGAAGATAGTACTGAAGACTGGTGGCCCTAATAGGTAGAAAGCGAAAGAGCACAAGCAGACGGGAGACCTGGGTGGTGCAGCACTCGAAGAATGGAGACTGAAAAAAGACTGAATCTGTTTAAACGACAAAGGATGAGACAAGCTTTAGACTCGGGGTGAGGGAAGACACTTTCTCAACTCACAGTTGCCAGGGACGGGTATTGAAAGTGAGTGCGATTTAAGCGTGTTTCTGAAAACCCGGAGGAAGAGTAACGAAGTGTTGGCTTTAACCGCTTACCTACTGAGTAGGGTAGATAGAGGCATAGACAGACACCCCCTGGTGTTGGGAAATGAGATTTTCAGCAACTATTTCAGGTGACTACAGGGAAAGGCTTGGTTTTAAAGCTAGTTCATGTCTTCTTCCTATTGCTTAACCCACAGGTTGATGATAAAGAGAGTAACTAGTAAGAGGAACAGAAGAAATGTCATGTAGAGGAAATAGAAGTGAAAACTGATCAGGGTGGAAAGGAAAAGAGGCTGATGTCCTACTTGAAGGATCAGGAATAACCGTAGCTAAGGCTCACCATACCTAATTAATCAGTCAACTTATTTTGCCCAGACTAGCATATAAAGAGGCAAAGGGTGAAGGAAGTTGAACAAGAACAAAAATGACCCCTTTGTGTTTGGTTAAATTTTAAAACTCACTGCCATTGATTTGGAATATACTCATAGCTGGTCCTCCAGCGAGTTTTCAGAGGCTGTAAATACCACTCGTGATTGCCTTTTTCCAACAGAGCAGATGGTGAGTTTGAACTGCCTTTCTTTGGCTTGGCAGCACACTCCTTACCCACTAGGCCACTACTGTATTTAGTTGGTAAATTAATAGGGAAATTATATGCAAATAAATCATGCATATTATTTTCATGTCAACATATAGACACATTTTGTAATTTTAGTAGCTTTAGGGAATGGAGAAAGAGGCTGATATCCTTTGGCAAATTTAGTTCAAATGATTTTGCTTCTTTGCTCTGGCTGTAGAGTCTCCCTGACCCCATCTCTCCTGAGAAACAGCTTTCCTATTCACGGATCAAGCCTTTAGCTCTAATCCTGATCCTGAATAGTTTACTATCAAACTGAAATCAGGGAGCACTTTTGGATTAGCAATGGATAAGGGCTAGAAGGTTGGCTCCAGAAAATGCAAGAGCAACATCTTCAGAATTAACCCTAAGGCTGTCCCTTCTTTCCAGTCTCCAAGTGTTCCGAGGGAACAGTTAGGGGACTTGGAATCTTGCAATTACTTATATCCAAAATATTTTAACAGCCTTTAGAAAGAGAATTGATGCCTTTGAGATGTGGTGCTGGAGAAGAGTGCTGAATATACCATGGACTGCTAGGAGAACAAACACGTTTGTCCTGGAAAGGGTAAATCAAGGCTGCTCCTTGGAGGCAAGGACTCTGAAGCTTCCTCTGACATACTCTGGGCATGTTGCAAGGAGGGACCAGTTCTTGGAGAGGGACATCATGTTTGGGAGGGTGGAGAGACAGCACGAGAGCAAGACCCTGGATGAGATGGATTGATTCAGTGACTGGGGTAATGGGAGTAGGTGTGTCAGAGACAGGTTGGCACAGGATAGAGCAGGGTTTAGGGTTCTTGTACATAGGGTTGCTATGAGTCACAAGTGACTTGATGGCACATAACAACAACAACAACCACCACCACCAATATTTGGAAGCTTTGATTCTTTGCGGGTTACAATGGGGAAAGTGAATCTTATGATACGTTGTGAAGCATTGAAAGAAGCCCATTTAGGAGCTGGTGGTGTTAGAACTGGGCACAGCTGAAATCAGCAACTTATGTTTTCAGCAAAATAACAGGAGGCAGAGATGCTTCAAGAGGAAGGGGGTGCAGTAAGACTTCAGTAATGCTCATGACCTTGGGGTAATTGTTCACAGTGTGAACTAGCCTGTGAGCTTCATAGGCTGCCTTCTCCATTTTAAGGACTTCAATTCCATCTATATTCAGATAACTCCCAAATCCCTATCTCTACCCCAGAATTTGATCTTAAAAACTCAACTGATCATTAATTATTATTTCCATTTGATAATTTCAGAGGTACACCTCACCCTAAACTGAGCACCTTTTCCTGGTTCCCTGAAACTCATTCCTTCTCCAGCATTCACTGAGTAAATGGCACCATAAAACACTTACCCTTTAAACAGAAACCTGGGTATCAACCTGTGTGCTTCCCTTCCCTTAACATTCAAATCCAACCATTCACCAGACATGTCAATTTTGCTTCCTAAATATCTTTCAAATCTGTTCTCATGACTTGTTCGGCCACCATCTCCTGGACCACAGCAAATAGCTCCCTACTGTGGCTTGTTCCTGCCAATCCATTTTCACACCCTAAGGTCAGGTGATTCTTCTAAAACACAAAACTTATCTCATTTTCTCGTTTAAAATTTTTCAATGATTTCTCACTGCCCTTCAGCAAAAGTCTATATTCTTTGAACTGGTCTCCCTACATCAACCCTTTCCCAAACTGTTTCAAGTATTGAGCTTTTTCTGTGCTTTCTCTTGCCTCTAGGCTGTGCACTTGCTGTCCTGTATGTCTGAAATGCTGTCTTGGGTTCCTCTTCCCTTCTGGTTAACTCATACCTATCTTTCAGGTATCAGTTTAAGCATCATTCCCACTGAGAAGCCTTTCCTAACTACAAGAGGAGGTTAGATAAAAATAGTTATTGTTTATTGAATGATACATGATGCACTTCCCCTATATTACCCTTATCATAATTCATTTCATTGCTTTGTTTAATGCCTGACTTCCTGACTAGACAATAAAATGTGATCACCCTCTGATCAACATTTTATCAGGAGCACCTAGTACAGTGTAAGTAAGCAATCAATATTTGTTAAATGATTAAATTTATAACTAGAAAGCCATTTTTACTACTGAATCCTCAAGATACACAAATTCTGTGCTTCTGATATGCGTATGCGTACGCGTACACACACACACACACACACACACACACACACACTATAGGATAATAGCTATACAGCCGTTCATATTTGCTTAAATAAGATAGTAATAGTAAAATCTGTCTTGTATCATTTAAGGAACAATAATTATTTTATCTAGGTCTCAATTCCTAAATAAGAATGTAACCCTGCTCTACTCAAAAGACTCCTGTAAGCGGCTGAAACTGCCCACCAGATGGCAGTATTACCCAGGGCTGATCTGTTCTTCCAATGCAGAGCAAGACCAGCAGTCACGGGGAAAAAGACGTACAACCAGAGTTGCTTCCCCAGAGTTGAGGATGAAACGGGAAAAGCAGCACAGACACCAGAATGTATGTCAAGAAAGCCTCATGTTTTAAAACCATCCTCCTCTTTTCCTCATTACAGGCTCCTCCTAGGCACTGTTTATGCTTCGGAATAAGCATCTTCTGGCTTGGCTTGCCGTTCACAGTAAGGGGGCTTCCCCCTTTTTGTATTAACTTTTTTTTTTCTGCCAGAGCTGCCTGCTTCCACTTCCAGTGGGTACTTTTTAAAAAGAGGGTTAAATTTACTTTGAAGGCATATTCTGGGAAGCCCCACAATTACTCTTTCCTGGGAAATGGGGAGTGGTAGAATTCAAAGAAATTCTTAGCTACTGATTTCATTCATCCTTTTCTACCTTGATTTCAATGAATGAGTTCAAGTCAGGGCAGAAAGTTTTGTGGGGCTGATCAAAAGACGGGGAGACAGGTCCATTCTCATCACCTCCCTCATCTTCCTGTTGGAAGTTGGGATTGTAAAGTTCTGGTGGAAGGAGTTGGACCTCAGCAGAAGGTAATCTGTCTGAAGGAGGCCCATATACACGGTTGGCTTTGGTGCCATGCTTTGAATTGGCATCCAGGTGATAGCAGAGCTCTGTGAGGCGCTGGGCCCTGAAACGAGGAGGGCGGGCCACCCAGACACCTGGCTCATTAAGACTGTCCTCTTCATCTGACATCAGCTCTTCTGTCACATCCTTCCAAAGGTGTTGGTCCTCAGGTCCAAAATGCCTCATGATACTGGATCGGTTGGCAAAAAGCTATAGTCAGAGCCCAGGACAGAGAGTAAGAGAAACAAACAATGAGTTAGATTTGGAGAACATCTGTATGGGGAGGAAGGCTGTGTAACATTTGTGCCTGATGGATCCCAGTCCCCAAGTCAAAATTTAGAAGAGTTCACTTTCCTTTTGCTCTGTTTGCTTATAATCTGAGCTCTCAATCCTAGTCTTAGAGTTTAATGTCTTGAAAGGAATGCTTTGAAACCTCTTACCCGGTATCTTCTGCTTCGAAGTTTTTTCTCCTCTTTTTCCTTCAGGCCTTTAAAAGGATTCAAGGAGTTGCGGTACTCACGCCTCTTTGTAAGGAAATAGGCCACACAGGCTCCTGGGTTACAGAAAATGAGAGGTGCAAAAGGGGCTTCTAGAGCAGTAGTCCTCAACTCCTTTTTTTCCTGCCTTAACACAATTGAGTTACTAGAAAATGTGCTTTCTTGGTTTTCCTATCGGTATCAGTATCTATTTAAGCTCTCTTTCTTCACCTCCATCTCCAACACTAACTCTTCCCATATCTCCCAATGGAAAAAAGACAACTTCAACTACTTCTTTAGCCCCCATTAAACCTAATCCCATTGCCAGTAACTGTTTACAGGTACTTTTTCCAGAAGCTTTCTAGTTCATAATGTTTCATAATGTTTTACAAGACACATAACAGAAGGAAATAGAAAACCTAAGGCGTAATATTTAAGTACAGAAAGGCAGCCCTTCTGACTTCCTTTTTATGTTTCAGATGCAGGCCCTACATAGACACAGTGCCTGATTGGTGTTCCAGCTCTTTCCTCTTGCTATTCTCATTTCAGAGTGAGTCGGGGAAGTAAAAGGCAATAAGGGCTAATCTCAGGAATACTGGAAGTGAAAAGAACAGCCAAAAGCTAATAATTACTTGAAAACGACTATTTTCAAAACCATCTCTATTATGCCTTTTCTCCTCTGACCAAGAATATGGTGGAGGGGAGTAGGCAGAAAGGATGGGATAGAAGTTAACTCAGGTTTTTCTTACCTTTCAGCTCTTTGTCAGTGTAATTGTGGGGACTAGTCACCAGTTCTTGCTTGAGCTTTTCCAGAAGGAACTTCACTACTGAAATATTCCAAGACGACTTAATGCTGCCAGAAAGAAGAGAGTAAGGCAGTCTACTTTTTTAAGAGTCAGATGAAGAGAAATACTAAGCACTAATCAACTTAGTGAAAATGCCTCCATGGCTCAAGACAAGATGCAGAGGATAAGGATGAGCTGAAAGCCCTAGCCTCATTGTTTGTAGCAACCTCCTTTATTTCCCTTCCCTTAGCAAAGTTCCTTTTTCAAGTCTTTTTTCCTAGGAGACCATACCTTTCAGACCCATTGAATCTCTTGTCATTGGTGATGTGGTTATGGACATTGTGGACCATTTTCTAGGGAAAAAAAATAACAACAAATAGAATTATGCCAAGTGTGGGTATTATGAAAAAGCTGCCTCAAATCTGTAAGGTGAAAAAAACCCCATTATCCATATGTAGTTCTCAGCTAGAATTCTTCCCATGGCCTGGGTACCATTTAAGAAGATAACTTCCAAAGAACTAGAATTACTTATCCAAATTAATATTTATAATAGGATCTGTGATGGTTAAGTTTGTGTGTCAACTTGGCTGCCCATGACTCTCTAGTTTGGCAGCTACAATGCAGTCATTCCGTTGTTAAAACTGAATATATATATAATATCACCTCCATGATGAGATGTTATGAGCAGAGACAATCAGTTGAAAGGGAGTTTTCTTTGAGGGTTTGGTCTATGTGATATTTATATAGAGACATCTGGCAAAGCCCTGCTTTTTGGTTGATCAGGATCCTGCATCCGACTTGTTACTACCTGACTTCTGGTTCTTTAGATTTGAGCCAGTAGCTCCATACTGCCCGGTGATCTTACCTACCAGTCTTGGGTTCATCAGCCCCTGCGGCTGTGTGAGTCAGGAGAAGCCTCTATCATGACCTCAGATTCATGGACTAGGACTTGCTAGCCTCTAAATGCACGTGTGCTATTTCCTTGATTTATAAATTAAATAAATAAAATATATAGTGTATATATATGTAAATTAAGTAAGAGATGCATTATATATAAATTAAATATTTATATCCATTTTATGTATATTATATATATGTTGTTATTGATTGCCATCGAGTCGAGCACAACTCATAGTGACCCTATGAACAGAAGACCCGAACCCTGCTCTATATAACTATCACTGTTTCTCTAAGTTCATAGAGTTTCCAGAGGCATGTTCTTTAGGAATTGGATGCCACTCCTGCTTCCAAATGAAGTTCTCAAACATTTCTATGGGTATACCTCTAATGGCCAGAAAGAGCAAATATACACCAGGGCTACTGTAAGTGAACTTTTTATTTTCTTTTTAATTAGCTAATTTATTAATTATTTTCTTTAAATTAAAATTTTAATTGAAATTTGAATGAAGGTTTACAAAGCAAATTAATTTTTCAAATATTATAGAATATTTTCTATAACATTAATTTCTAAAATTCTAATTGCACTTTTCCCACTTCTTCCCTGTAATCCTGACTTTCACTAATCTTTCCATGTCTCTCTGTGTCTTTCGTTTCTTTAATTATACTGGGATGATCATCACCTTATTGGATATTACCTTTCCCTTCATCTATCTTAATATATGCCTATTATCTATTTACTCATTTTTACTTTTTACTCCCTCTTTCCCATCCCTGGTAACTATTTTTTTTTATTTGCTAATTGCTTTATAACCACAACAAACTGGTACAGAGGAAGGTCCTGTACAAAACACAACAAAGGTTCAAAGATGGAGGCGTTCTCTTAGCAAGGCTGAAGATTTCAGTCTCTGGTATTTGGAATTTAGGCTGCAGTCCTTGTTTTTGGATGGATCACTGGGTGTGTGGGCACAGTCCATGCTTTAACCATATTTGAACAGAAGAATGGCAACTTGGCCCAGGCAGTAGATGAAGTGCTTAGTTTCATGTGTCACATAACTACCGAAGTTTCTCCCCACGATGCAGTGCCAGGTGGGGTTGTACTTCTTGTCAAACTCCTTCTTGATGTGGGCCACGATGTCCTTCTCGATGTTGTATTTCTCCAGCGCCTGTGTCGCGAACTCAACCGAGTCCTGTTGCATTTCCTCCGACATGTCCGCATTTTTGATCACCGCCTTTCGGTCGCACATGGTTGGTTACTTTTCTGAAAGCCCCTGGTAACTATTAAAGAGTGATTCTCTCTCTCTCTGTAAACCTTGCCTTAGCTTTTTAAAATATACACACACACACACACACACACACCTTTCCTTAGCTTTTAATAACAGTGGTCTTATACAATGTATGCCCTTTTGTGACTAACTTATTTCACTTAACATACTATCATCTAGATTCATCCATGTTATTCAGTGTTTCATGAATTCTTTGGTTTTTTTTAATGTTACATAGTAGTCCATTGTATTTTCTTTATTCACTCGTTTCCATCTCTTTTGCTATTATAAAGAATGCTGCAGTGAACATAAGTGTGCATATGTCTGTCTGTTTTGCAGCTCTTATTTCTTTGGGATATATATCTAGTAATGGGATTGCTGGATCAAATGGTTTTCTGTTCCCAACTCTCTAAGGAAGTGCTAAACAGCTTTTCATTGTGGCCATACCATTTTATGTTTCTACCAGCAGTATAGAAATATTCTAATTTCCTCCACACCCTCACCAGCATTTGTTTTCTGTCTTGTTGAGCTTTGTTAGTATTTCTAGGATTAAGTAAACATTTCTTGAAGTCTTCTATTCTTGCAAATTTTAAAATTTTCTTCAAACTACATTTCTTTCAATATGAAAATTATCTTCTAAAATTTTCTAGTATAATTGATGATCCATGAGCATGCTCCAGGTTTATTCATGGCTTTATATATCTCTTTGCACATTACCACAAATCCTAGGGACAAACGCAACATAGTCTGAAAAGCACAAACCTAAAATAGCAGAAGTGTCCTTTGGAAAAGGACCTTGGAGACTTTATCACCCAACCTCCCTTTTACATTATCAGATAGACTTTTGCTTATGCAACTCTAGTGATGGGTTCTCAGTACTTATTGAAGCAGCTTATTCTGATGTTGAACATCTCTAATAGTTAAACTTTGCTTTGTTGTTTTTGTATGCTGTCGAGTTGGAACTGACCCATAGCTGATCCTCTAGCAGGTTTTCAGAGGAAGTTAATCACAATGGAGGAGACTGCCCATGCTTCTCCCATGAGCAGCTGGTGGATTCAAATTTGTGCCTTTGGGATTGCAGTGCAGCTTCTTACCAGTTGTCGACCAGAGCTCCCTAAAACTTTCCTTTTAAGGCCCTAAAATAATGGCCTCAGTTTCGCCCATAATTGCACCTGAAGTATTAAAAAATAACCTTTTTGTACTCTCTAAGTGTTCTCTTATTTAGTCTAACCAACTTCAAGCCCTTTAATCATTCCTTATGACATAGTTTCCAGACAAATTCCTCATCAAACCATGAGGAACTCTGACTTGCCAGATCTTACAGAGGGACACCTGGAACTGAATCTAACTCATCAGGTGAAATCTGACCAAAGAGGAGCATTACCTCCCTCCATGGAACATTACACTTCTAGGAATGAAGTCCAAGACGGTGTTACCTTTCTTAGCAACACCACACCTATGAGCAGTGAACTAGAGTTCATTCACAATGACAACTCAAGTCACCAGGGCATTTTTCACATGAATTACTATCATCATTTTCTTCCAACTGAATTGTTAAACTTTAATGCAGGATTTTGTTTATTCCTATTGAATTTTGCTTTGTTTTTTCTGATTATGTTTTCATTCTGAATTCTCTCACTCAGTGGAAATTATGGAGCACATTTTGATGAGTTCACCTCCCAATTTAAGGCTTCAACTCCACATTTAGAAACTCTTAATTTAAGTTTCTACTTGTACAGCTAATTGATCATATTACACTTGAAAGTACTGTAAATTCTTTGTAGCTGGGATCTCCACTTTTTGTTATCACTGTATTATTATACTTGCTTCATACTCAATACAGTTATTTTACCTCTTAGTAGACTAAACTTAAGGAATCACAAGGGGTGGATGAATGCTTCAGAAAACATTCAGAAGAGCTGCAATAAAGGAGGGGTGGGGGCCTTGCATAGTCTCCAATCCAAGTGGCTTAGAAGAGATCAGCTGATAAAAATCAAACTAGGCTTGAAGTAGAAAGGAAAAATACTCCAGACGATAATAAGTGTTAAGACTGTAAAGGCTGCTGGCTCACCTACCTCCTCAGTGAGCTAAAAATAAATACATTTCCCCAGGAGCACTGAGTCTGCATCATTCCAAGGAATTAAGAGTTTTGGTTTGGTCCTTTTTGTTCACAACAATGCACAGCTGCCCCAGTACACTGGAGAGGTACCACTCTGATTTCCTCCCAGAGGTAAACATCGAAATAGTAAAGATCTGCTGCTGTTCCTCCTCCCCACACCCTTAAACCCACAATCTGGCTGGTGAGCCCACAAGAATATTTTAAACCTTCTGTGATGGGCAGCAAAATTCCCTGGCTGGCACTTTAGATCTTTCTCAGCACTATCATAGAAAACCTGATAAGTGAGCATACTGGTCTCCTCAGTAGGTTCCCAGTTTCACTAAGCTCATTAAAGGGCAGGAAAAAGCCAAGTCTCACATTACTCCTCTCTCTGGAGGCAGAAGGCAGGGTTGGAATGGAAGTGAGTGGCTCCGAAGATCCCGACTTTTTGCAAATTCTAATTCTCACAAATTTATTCATGACTTAAAAATTACAAAGTTTTGAGAAGTTCCTTGAAATGCATATGCCTCCTTTTATATTACTAGCAACAAGAGTGGAGTGACTATCTTGGGCCCAAAATCTGTGACAGAAAAGCCAAGCCCATCTCCCATACTTAGTAAGTAAGGAGATGTCCCTGAACAGAATAAAAATACAAAATGAAAATAAACAAATTGCTATTGGTTAGGAGTGGAGTCTTTCCAGGGGATAAAAGACTCTCATCAAAGTAAAACTGAGGTCTCAGAGGAAAATTAGACTTACATGAACTCTGGTGGGGTCCTGGGCCCAATGTTACAAATTTCCACTTGGAAATATACGTGGGAGGTAAATATATGTGGGAAAGACTTCAGAAGACAAGGTAAATACAGAGTAAAAACTGCATGTGAGAAAAAGGAAAATCACTAAAACACCTAAGACTATAAAACTTATGTGGAGAGTGAGAAGTAACTAAGGTGATATATAAATGGTAGTAGTCAGCTGTTTTCAATCTTTGCTAATACAGGAAGAAATAGGCTTTACATTATAATGGGACTTTGGTTGGCTGTGACAGGTGACCTCCACTCCAAACCAAAAAATGTAGAGGAACATTAGGTTGTTAACGCAGTTATCTATTTTATAGATAGATATTTTGGTGTCCCTCCAACATTAACACCTAGTATGGCCCTAATTGATCGTTCTAATGTGAAATCTATACTTGGACCAAGAGGCAGTCGTCAGAACAGAGCAAGGAAACAATGCATGGTTCAAAATTGGGAAAGGCATATGCCAGGGATGTGTCCTATCTCCATACCTTTTCAACCTGTATGCAGAGCAGATTATCCGACAGACTAGGCTGTATGAGGAGAAGTATGGCATCAAGATTGGTGGAAGATCTATTAACAATCTGCGTTATGCAGATGACACAACCCTGCTTGCTGAAACTGAGGGGGACCTGAAATGCTTGATGCAGAGGGTCAAGGACTGCAGCCTTCAGTATGGATTGAGGCTCAATGTCAAGAAGACAAAGATTCTCACCACTGGACCAATTGGCAGCATCAGGATGGATGGTGAAGAGATTGAGATTATTAGTAACTTTAGCCTGCTTGACTCCACGGTCAACACTCTTGGCACCAGTAGCCAGGAAATCAAAAAACATATTGCAATGGGAAAGTCTGCTGTTAGGGACCTCTCCAGGGTACTGAAGAGCAATGGTGTCACTGGAGACAAAGGTGTGTCTAATACAGGCTATGGTCTTTGCAATCACTTGTTATGCATCAGAGAGTTGGACAATGACTAGGAAGGATAGAAGGAGACTTGATGCCTTTGAGCTATGGTGCTGGAGAAGAGTATTGAATGTACCCTGGACTGCCAAGAAAACAAACAGATTCACCCTGGAGAGGGTTAAACCAAGCTACTCCTTGGAGGCAAGGATTCTGAGGCTTCATCTGACATACTTTGGACATGTTGTAAGGAGGGAGAGGTCCTTGGAGAGGCACATCATGCTTGGGAGGGTGGAGGGAAGGTGCAGAAGGGGAAGACCCTCTATGAGGTGGATTGATTCAGTGACTGGGGTAATCAGGATGGGTATGTCAGAGGCAGTGATATCAGCACAGGATAGAGCAGGGTTTAGAGCTGTTGTACATAGGATCGCTATGAGTCGCAAGTAACTTGACGGCACATAACAACATGGCCCTAATCCTCCAAGTGACACAATTGGTAGTCACCCTAGAGGAGAGTTTATCCATTTTGGAACTCATGAGTATTTCGGGTCAAATAATTCTTTAATATGAGAGGCTGTCCTCTGTATTGTAGACATTTAGTAGTATCTCTGGCTTCTATTTACCAGATACCAAGAGCACCTTTCCTCCCTCTGCTATTTATAACAACCAAAAACATCTGCAAATACTTCCAGTTGTCCCTGTGGACAAAATCAAACCAGCTGAGGACCACTGCCCTTGAATATCTCTAGGTTTAAATTAGCTGCTGGCTAGAGGGCTCTCAGCTCAGCAGAATGTTCCTAGGGCTCCAGGGCACCCCGACATTCCAGAAAGACCTGTTCAAGCCAGTATCTTCCCTGCCAAGAGCTCCTGGAATGACTAAAATCTCCAAACCTTTATAACTGAGCTAACTGCTTGGAGACCACCCGAGGATACTAGGCTTTTCCATCCAAGAGGTGCTTGGCCATTTACCCTGCATATTAGCTAAATCTGCAGGCAATTCTAATGTTCCTCTTCAGTAGTTAATCCCTTAAATCTTCCTATTAGGATCATTAGGTCATTCCCATCCATCCACTTGAGTCAAGTCTGTTCTGATTCATAGCAACTCTCTGTCAGACTTCCAAGGCTGTAAATCTTTATGGGAGGAGATTGCCCATCTTTTTTTCTCCAAGCAGTTGGTGGGTTCTTAATGCTGATCTTTTTGTTAGCAGCCTGACATGTTACCTCCTCCCTATTAGATCACTAGGAGATTTGATAAAATACCCTTCTCTCTTTAGAAGGAAAATATCTATCTATAAAAGTCTAAAGAAAACTTCAACTGCAAGTAGGTAGCCTAGGGTTATGGCATGAATCTGTCTTCTTGATCATTTCATTTCATTATGATTCATGATAACAGTCATTCACTACAGGATGTTTAAAACCAACCCACCCTTCACTCTTGTCTCCAAATTTAAAACAAGAAGTATAGAAATTGAGCTCACTCACAGATAGTACCAAATCCCGCTTACGCCTGGAATTCTTCTGCCCACTCCCTTTGGTCCTGCATTGGGAGGCAGTAAACCCTAGAGGGTGTCTCAGCTCCCCAGTTCCCCCAGAGCCTGACTCTTCCAAGGTACTGTCCAGCGTAGCAGCAGCATTGAGCACATCTTCAGGACGGGGTGGTGGCAGCTTGGTTCCATTCTCTGACCCTGTCTCTGAGGTTGCCCGCTGGATAGCCAGTTGTGTGGCTGGTGAGAGCTGCTTGGCATAAGCAGGGACCAGCACCCGCTGTAGTGCACCCTCAGAGGCCACGTAATCATCCACCAACTAAGAACATAAAAGAAAATAGCCTATTAGCCGGTCCACTTAGGGGAACCTGGTCAAGGATCGTGAACAAAGAGTGGAGAGATATGGAGAACATAGTAGTCTTTAATGCTCAATGGATTTCTCTGGGACTCCTGTGGGAATGCTGGGCAAAACGTTATCTTGTGTGTACAGGGCCTATGGTTTGGGGTCATTACTATAGCACTGATTACAAGGAAAAGGCAGGTTTCTGATGCTTTCATAACTTGAGTTTGCTTGGCTCCATGGTCAACACTCTTGGCACCAGCAGCCAGAAAATTAGGACATATTGTGATGGGAAAGTCTGCTGTTAAGGACCTCTCCAAAGTACTGAAGAGCAATGGTGTCACTCTGGAGACTAAGGTGCACCTGGTACAGGCCATGGTCTTTGCAATCACTTGTTATGCATCAGAGAGCTGGACAATAACTAGGGAGGATAGAAGAGAATTGATGCCTTTGAGCTGTGGTGCTGGAGAAGAGTATTGAATATACCATGGACTGCTAAGAAAACAAACAGGTTCATCTTGGAGAGGGTTAAGCCAGGCTGCTCCTTGGAAGTAAAGATTCTGAAACTTCATCTGACATACTTTGGACATGCTGCAAGGAGGGACTGGTCCTTGGAGAGGGACATCATGCTTGGGAGGGTGGAGGGACAGTGCAGGTGAGGAAGACCCTCTATGAGGTGGATTAATTCAGTGACTAGGATAAATGGGGGTAGGTGTGTCGGAGACAGTGAGATTGGCACAGGATAGAGCAGGGCTTAGAGCTGTTGTACCTAGGGTTACTATGAGTCACAGGCGACTCGACAGCACATAACAACAACAGTAATTTATGGTCTGCTCTTGGGTATATGTGGCTAGAAAAAGGTTTTGTTTAAAAGGCATTGGGAAAGGAGGTAATAACAACAACAAAATAAGGAAACTAAGCAAGAAAAAAACCTGACATCAATAATAAAGAGGAGAAATAAGAGAAAATGAGAATGAAGGAGGAATATATAAAGTAAAAAAATCTCTAGAGACTGGAGCTGTCTGCTGCACTCATCTATTGTTCATCCCCTTCACAGGGCCAGTCCTGAGTCCTCACCTTGATCCTGCCTAGCAATATCTGACAGTCAGTGTCCTGACATCTACATGACTGTTTGTGCCCTCACTCAAGGACATACAGGGCAAGGAAAAGAAGGAGGGGAGGAGAGAGGGAGAGAGAAGAAAGGAGGGGGGATTTCTGCAGCCAAGAAAACAAAACAGTGAAGGGGGGACACAGAACGAGGGGGAGGCGAAGGCTGAGATTTATAGACCTGTGAGCTGCTTTCTGCTCTGTGGAATCTAATTCCATCCTGTGGGCTTGGAAGCCTTCCCTGCCTGAAAGAAACCACAGCCCAGGGCATAGCCTGGCCTGGAACCTGCCTCCCTCAGTCCCCAACAGTATGGTCCTGACCAGGCACAAACAGGAGCTATAGCAGTGGCCATTAGCCACAGGGCTATGCCTTTTGGGGTAACAGTGACCAATTGCAGAATTTCATGGGAGGGGGCCACGGAGAGTTTAGGTCTTTCTTTCTCAGATCCAGCAGATGGGCTGGGAGTTTCATTCCTCCCATCGACCCTGTGTTCTGCTCCTTTACTCTTTTCTGGGTGTCTGCGCCTTGTCATGGGGGGAGAAAGAGAAGAGGGAGGGCAGACACAGAGAAGGTGGAGAAGAGCTGACAGACCTCCCACTGTCTCTCAAGTGGCAACACATCTGTTATTTCCCCATCTCTGTGATCTCTGTAGTTGCTCCATCTCCTTTCCATACTTTCATGTGTGACATTCTGCAGTTTTGACTCTACCCAGCCAGGATTTTCCTGCTCATATGGCCCTGAGCAATAAAGAAACTGAAATAGAACAATGTACTTGTGTGTCTTTTCCTGCTCACAAATGTGCTCACCTGTGTCCTTCTTTCCTTCTCCCTACGTAGTATTCCTTTTACTATCAATTTCATTTCTGTTCAATTTATTTCCTTTCCTCTAGCTCTCCTCCCACCTTGCCTCAAATTCTCTTCCCCACATAGATGTTCCCTTTTCTACATAAATTTGCCTTTCTTCTATGCTCTTTTTCCAATTTTGATCCTCCCTCACCCCTTCATCTATGCCTCTTTCCCTCCCAACATCTGCCTTCTACTCGTCCTCTCCCTCTCATATTTTCCTTCTATTTCTCACTCCACCTCTGCCTTCCTCTTTTCTACATTCCCATCTCTCTCAGCACTGAACTCCTCTTGGCAAGCTGAGGGTCCGTGATAAAATATGAATGAGCCGTCTGTGCACGGCAGGCATTCTCGCCAGGAGAGGCAGAGCCCACGAAGCAGCCAAGGCAGCTGTGGAGGAAAGGGTGCCATGTGGAGTTAGTGGGGAGGGAAGGGCACCTAATTCCACACACACCCAAAAAGATCCCCTGCCAAAACCTCTGATGATCTGAGAAGAAAATAGGGGTGCTGACTATATCGTTAAAGGCAAAAGAAATGGAGTTCTGTGGTTTATCACAAATCCAACAAGAGATGGAAAGAAAAAGACAAGAGAGAGAAGGCTAAGACACAGTAGCGCTTGTGTCCTTTCTCTGCTGCCATACTCACAGGATTGAGCAGCGAGGCCCCCTCAGTAGCAGCCAGGCCACATCTCTGGGAGGCTGGGAAGCCCAAGGGCCCAGGCCCAACTGCTGAGGCTGCTCCCAGCTGCCGCAGCTCCTCAATCACCACCTGCACGCCACTGCCCACACTGTCACACTCCTCTTCTGCCACAGACAGAGACTTGCCAGCTTCTCCAGGGCTCTCCTTGAGAGGCCCAGGCTCTTCAGGTGCAGAACTCTGTGCACCAGCTTCCCCATCCTGAGCAGGGGTAGACACTCTCCCCTGCCTTAGCTCACTCACTTCCTCCTGCAGACGTTTTAACAGTTCATTGTTGGCCTTGGCAAGACCCAGAGCAGCCTCAGCCAGTCCCACTGCCTTTTCTACCCTCTGGTAGATGACATGGAGGAGTTGCTCTGAACTCTGGACTGCTAGGCCATGGCCTGTCACTGTGATAGGAGTGCTGGGAGGAGGGTTCCCACCGTGAGAGCCGGTGCTGCCCCCACTGGTCTCATTCTTACAGGAACAGCAGCAGCATGTGGCCTCACTGTTACTGGGTGGGGAGAAGAGAATGGTAGCACTGAAGGACATGACTGGCTGGAGCAATGGCAACCCTGCTCACACAGCTGGGCTTTTCCAAAGAATGTCCTGAGTCCAGCTGAACTTCACAAGTTCAGTGGGTAGTAGCACCAATCTCTTTAAATGTACTTTCCTTATTCACTGAAAGTGATCAGAGGCACGTGCGCAGCATGTAGTGGGTTCTGTGACGGAGGAGTATGCACACCAGGAAGGAAGGTACAGTCCATGGCTGCCTCGCCTCAGCTTGCAGAGAGACGCTTTCTTCTGTTTGTAGATCCTACTCCCCATCCTGTTCACTCCTTACTAAGGGAAGAGGCCTACAAAGGCCTTCTTGAGGGACACAGTTTCAGAGGGTAGAAGGCATTCTTCTTGTACATGAACATAAAACCACTCATACCCTAGCCCTCAGCCCCCAAGTACTACCACCATTCCAGCCTAAGGAACAGAGGCTTGAAAGGAGCTGCCAGCATCTGGAAAGATTAGATTAAGGAAGAAAATGTTGATCTGTCATAGCCTCACTATCTTACTGTAATAACAATATTATGTTTTATTGCCTTGACATGATTTCTGAAGCAGTTCAGAATGTTTCACATAGGTTATCTCATCTATACAATAGCTAAAAAAACACATATTACTCTAGGTCCAGGGAAGAGATATGCAGAGAAGTTATATGTCTTTTTCAAGGTCAGAGAAGATAGCAAAATCCAGTTATTGCTACTTTCAGTCTAGCATTTTGGGTTTTTTTCCCCCTAAACGGATACCACTTTTTGTTGACATGAAGAATCATGATTCCAACCTCTATAATTTTCATACAGATGCATTCAAAGACTCTGAAAACACCAATCATTACATCTCTCAATATGTCACCAACCTCTCACATCATTAATTCTTTAAGGGAGGGGCAGGAGAATGAAATGAAATAAAAGCTGCATTGGAAAACTGAGTTGGAAAATGGGCATTTGCTCTCAGAATGGGGCATCTGTACCTCAGCCTTTACAAAGGAAACTTGCTGTCCTGAGTCCCTTGGCCAGTAGTCAGAGAAATTAGCCCTCTGTGTCCCCTTATCACCACTTCTCATGTTCAACAGGTATGTCTAAATATCTAAGGTTGGTACATTGCTTACATTACCAGCCCCTCAAAAAGAAGAACATCAATGATAAACCCAACTGCCTCTTTTGAGTTATTATAATTAAGCCAACAACAAGCCAGAAAAAATAAGGCAGAACGAGATGGAGGCAGATTGTGCTACAAAGAACACTCCAAGGGACTTAATAAATATTGTCATTTTCTAAATGATACTTGATTGTGGGAGGGGGGAGAACCCTTTTGCCTGAAGCTTCATAAGTGACAAAACCTTAAGCATGTTTACAATTTCCTCGAGTGATACATTTCTATTGTACCCTAAAAATTACAACATCACAATTAAAAGGAGAGGAGATTAAGAGAATTTTCTGTAGACTGAGATGGTTATTTATTCATTTATTTAAATCAGCACTCTCATTTCAAAAACAGGTAATATCAGTGCCTCTGAGGTACTAAAATATAAATCTGACTATGCATTTTAATTACATTTGGTTATTAAGGAATAGTCTTTAATTTGCTCTTTTTACCTTTATTTTAAAGAAATTGCTTTTTTTTCTGTGCCAAATATTCACTTTGTGCAAGAATTTAACTAAAATCCATTTACAGCTTCTCTGTCACTGCAGTTACTGGAAGGCACAGCTAAACCTAAAACTAAAGGTTAAAGCCAAATTAAAGCTAAAGGTTAAAGGAAAGCACTAAGTGATTCTATGTCAATTTATGGATGAATTATTTATATATCTTTTTCCTTCTCAAATAAGGGCCTACACATCTCCTTCAGATTTTTTTTTTATCAACATGCGAGGAGTTTAATCTAAAGCATTATGCTGTAAAAAAATTACATTTTGGGGAGAACATGGATTGAATTGTGTCCCCCCCCCAAAATACATACAAGTAATGATGTATCAGTGGAAGTTATGTAATGATACCCTATGAGCTGATTAAAACAAGTAGCTGCAAGTGGAATGCACCAAAGCCCGAGTCCAGTGTAAGGGGCGTTTCCCTGGAGTATGTCCTATATACCTTTTATCTCACTGGAGATGAAAGCGGAGGAACGAAGCTGAGGAGGGAGAATCTCAGTACTACTAAGCAGGAATTACCAGAAGTGGAGTGTTTTCACTGAAACTAGGTCTCCACACTAAGAAGCTCTTTGACACCAGGGAAGTCCAGGTCACACGGAGATCTTCAAGGAAGATCTGGCCTACAGATTCTGAAGGAAACAAACTTTTCTCCAGAACTGACAGAAGTCCTTCCCCTAAGATGGCACCCTGAATTTGGACTTCTAGCCTCCTAAACGGTAACAGAGTAAGTTTGTTAAGGCTATTTACCTGTGGTAACTGTTATAGCAGCCTTAGATAGTTGAGACAATGGACTACTATAATATACAAAGGTTTATCAATTGAGGCCATCAAAGTCAATTAGAGAGTATCAGTCTACAAAAATGATGGTCAATATCCTACTTTGGTGAGTAGTGACTAGGACCTCAGAAGCTTAGGACCCATCAAAGGTGCAACTATTGGGCTCTCCCTGTAAAAAACATAGAAGGGGGGAAAAATCAAAGATGCATAGAAACAACTAGTTCAAAGGGCTAAAGAGCAACATGAACTTCAAATTCCACTACTCTGAGACCAGAAGAACTAGATGGTACCCCACTACCTCAGCAAACTGCTCTAAAAGGGATCACAGTAAAGGATTTTGGAAAAGAGAAAAATGTGGGACAAATTTAAAATCACAAAAATGACCATGCTTGCTACTGTAATAGAGAATGCTGGAATCCAAATCTAGGGCCCTCAGCAACCCTTTAACCTGGAACGAAAATCAGTCTTATGACTCAACTTTAGCCAAACAATAGACATGCTTCTAAGATAAACAATAATACCAGGTAAGTTTTCCCTTCTTAAAACAACCAATCATACAAAAACGTGGGCAATATGTGCCTAGAGAGAAAGCTCAGAGGGCAGAAAGAGATAGAAGGATGAAAGGAAACAACACTGGGAAGAAGTAAAAAGAAGTGTGCTGTTACAATTGGGGACCATAATTAACACATTAAAACAAATCTGTATGAGTGATTGAATGGAAAACCAACTGCTTTTTAAATTTTCATTCAAAGCACAATAATAATAAACACTTTTGAAAAACAGAAGTGAAGATAGTGAGATTTTTATCTTATTTACTTTGGACAAATTATTGAGAGACCAATGAGTGGAAAAGGACATCAGGCTTCATAAACCAAGAGGATCAGAAAGAAAAATGGAGACCCTCAACAAGATGGATTGACATAGTAGGTGCAACAATGTGCTCAAACACAGCTATTAATGATTATGAGACTGGCACAGGACCAGGCAACATTTTGTTCTATTACACATAATGCTGGCATGAGTCAGAGCTGACTTAAGGCATCTAACAATATACTTGGTTTTCTCGTCTCACATCACTAGTCTTTCTTACAGGAGGACTTTATCTTTTTAGATATTTCTAAAATCTAAGTTAGATTTTAGAAATCTAATCTAGTAGTAGGTTATTTTGTACTAAATTTAGTAATAAATTATTTCATAACTGTCTTTTTGAGACTCAGTTGTTAGGTATGGTCGAGTATGACTCATAACAACCCTATGAACAACTGATTGGAACACCGTCATACCCCGTGCCATCCTCATAATCTCTGACACACCCAAGTACATTGCTACAGTCACCATGTCAACCTACCTGGCTGAAGGTCTTCCTCTCTTTCACCACCTCTCCATCTTTCCAAGCATGATGTCCCTCTCCAAGGAATAATAATACTCTAGCAACACATCCAAAGTATGTAAATCAAAGCCTCAATGTCCTTGCTTACAAAGAGCACTATGGCTGTACTTTCTCCAAGACATATCTGTTTGTTCTTTTGTCAGTCTGGAATCATAAGTCCTCTTCTCCAACACTACAGTTCAAAGGCATCAAATTCTTTTCTGTCATCCTTAGTCATTGTCCAGCTCTCAGACGCATAGCAAAGGACTGAAAAGACCATAATACAATTGAAATGTTTCAAATCACAGACTTAGCCCTGTACATGCTCACAAGCCTATGCCAGGAAATTTGGAGGACACCTGTTTGTTGAGGTTCAGTCAGACTATGCACATAAGGTATGTAGAACACTATTGTGAAAATTGGTTAATTCTGTCATCCTGTCAGGCTTAAATTAGGAAATATCAGATATGGAAAAAAGGGGTTTAGCTACCATCAAAAAGGAAGAACTAGATAGTATAGCAGGTCTTTTGGACCTGAGATCTCTGTAAGAATAAAAAAAAAAAAGATTGACTAAAACTCAGTCACACAGAGAGCTGTGGCACTGTATAGAAGAGAGACCAAGGTATGGCAGCCCAGACAAACGGCAGTCTGTGATACCAAAGAACCAGAGACCAATGTGAGCTGACCCACGCAACTAGAGTTGAGTGACTTCTGTGCCTAGGCTTAAGGGAAAAATAGGGTGGCTTATAATAGCATAGGAACATACTTCATAGCAAGTTATGCTGGTAACCCATGGGTGTGCTTTTTTGGCAGCTCAAATCAGTCTCATGTTATTTATAACCTTTGAAACCTACTGGAGGGTCAGCTGTGACTTGGAATTGACTCACAGCAATGAGAGGGAGAGAAAGAGAGAGAGAACTATATAAAACTTACTCAAGTAAGGCAGAGGCCGAGGCCACAGGGCTGAGGGTCAAGAGAGGCCTGCCTTTTGTTTACAATTGCAAGGAGTTGGAAACAACCTAAATGCCCATCAACAAACGAATGGGTAGAGAAGCACAATGGAATACTATGCTGCATTGAAAAACAAGGAACTCATGCAATATTATTCAAAATGGGTGACCCTGGAGGACATTATGCTGAGTGAGGTATCTCAGT